TAGAACTGTGACTCATTGGTGTAGGCGGTTAACTTTCAAACAATGGGTCACAAATTCGAACTCAACACAAATTACCGAAGTTTCAGAAAACAGGTAGTATCATTAGTCCTCAAACAATAGGTGTGGCCCATCGCCTAGTACGTGGACATATGCTTGATTCATGAGAGTTTGGTTAAGTTATACAGAAACGAAGAATTACTGAAAATGATCGATAATCCTATCAGAGCACTATTTTTATTCATGATCCCGTCTAATCAGAGGATAATGATGCCCACTATTCACGATTACTTACAGATAGATAGGAAGAAACCAACGTACAACCCCGTACACAAGTTCATCGGTTCAAGTTGCCACGCTTCACAATATCACACAAAGAATAAGTGGTTGGAAGACTGATATCAGAGTAAATAAACGTGTATGGGAAGGGGAGAAATTCGAAGGTCGTTAGTGAAAACGTCCAAGCTTCGGAAGACGTCAAAGAGTGAATATATATGTGTGCCAGTGTGACTGATTTTCAGCCAACTCACCAATAGTCTGCAGCTATTGATCACTATGGTCTCGAGGACCACAGCCAGGTAGTCCAAACTTCTCTTCATGGGTCACATTAACGGTCAGAGACTTCATGCACTGGTGTCACGTCTTCGTCTGACCAATTTAAGCTTTCTCCTAACTTAATCCAACTTCTGCTACAATTGGCCGTCGAAATAGGGGGTGGTTCAGCATGTGAAACCTGATCGACTGAGTCCCCTATCTTGCTTAGTACCCTTCGCTAAACCTCAACATTGCTCACATGGTGATACCACCATACATGAGCAATGCTACGAAAACAGCTTTGTTCGAAAACCTGTAGTCTGTTCATACCTTCTACTTCCATGGCCATGCGTCACAGAGCGACAACAGGGCAGTACACTTCCTTTAATAGGTAGTCGTATATCTTCCCAGCACCAGAGACGATAGAAGTTTCCAAAAACAGAACAGGCATTTTGTATCCGAGCTGAGGTTTCATCAGAAACCAGCGCATTTCGGGTTGATGCAACTTCCCACGTGAATACGGTGGTCAATGAAGTCTACCACTTCGCTCTCAATCTTTTAGCTGGGAGTAGCTGCACATCAGTTGTGAAGAATTATTTTACATTTCAAGGTGCAAAACGCATGTCAAACATACACAGATTTCCGCTCAAGGTGTTCGTCTGTGTACCCAAAGTCAACCACATCCTGTCCAGGGAGTAGATCATTCCTTGTGAAGTCAGACGCATCTAAGGTTATGACCCTTAGTAAGTCTTTAACGAAGTTAAACACGTATGGTGACAACGGAGATTCGTGGTGGACACCACGAGTTGACATCAATTCAGGTGACAACTCACCATAAGCACTTATACGGATGCGTGAGTTCATCCATACAGTTTTGACCAGTGCTACATACTTGCTTGACAGTCCTTCGACAGTCAGACACTAGCAAAATACTTCAGGGCCGACAGAGTCAAATGCCGCCTTCAGGTCAGGAAATATGGCAAATGTTGGCCGGCGGTAAGCAGGCCTGTGTCCCACAGTCTTTCGACGCGCGAAAATCTGGTCGATGCACCTGACGTTTCTGAGTTAGATGTTATCCGGCTACAGTTAGGCTTCGGATAAACATGAGCCCAAGGAATCTTGGATACAATGTTAGTTAAACTGACTCACCTATGATTGTTTCAATGAGACTTCTTTCTCTTCTTATAAACTGGAATGGTCAGTGAAATAGACCAGTCTGACAGGACTACCTCTGATTCCCATACGTTGACTAGAAACTACGCTGTTCTTTTCAGTAATTTTCTACCTCTACACCTAAAAATGAGTCGCGGACAGTCAAGTTCTGTTGGTTTGAATTGCTTCAGGTTCGATATAGCATTCTCAACTTCAAGGAGAGTTGGAGAACCGACATCTATGTCCCGTTCAGGTTCATGCTGGATGCTGGGCAACCCAAGCATTGCCGCAAGTTAGTAGAATTGTGCTCCAAAGCATTCAGTCCAACGTTCTATCCACCTGTCATGAGAGGTTATCAGAGTCCCATTCTTTTCGGTGATGGTTTCACTAACCACCATCTTTTTCTTGCACATATTCTTAATAAGCCAGTACCATCTAATGCTGATCCCTCCGCCATTTCCCTACCCAACACTTCACAATCATTGTGAAGAATCTTAGTCAACTTACGTTCCAGTCGCTTTAGCTATTCATTGTGATTAGAGCCAGTTGGAATTAGTCTTCTCACATCAATTAGTTTGGATGAGGTTGCGTAAATCCATCGGCGTTTGATAACCTTTGGATATAGGTTAAAAACTATCACCACTTTTTCTATAACAGACTTCATATTATCCCCGGTTTTCTTAGGGTAGGGATGGTCACCACGTTTGGACAAATGCCTAACTATCCTCCCTCCCTATATACATACTTTATGCCCTCACTCTACAATCAAGCATGCACAGACTTCACTGCAGTTCGTTTCCTGAGACCAACAGAATACAGAAATATACATGGCCCTACCAACGCTTGATCAGAATCAGAACAGGTATTCTAAAAAGAGCGGCAATCCTCCGACGATAGCTTATAGCAGTGTAATCTATCTGAATCCATCGTTTTTTTTATGTAGGTGGACGCCAAGTGATGCAGTATCTCTTTTTATGGTTGGATTTTGTGCCGGCTGGAAACAAATGATTGGAAGAACGAAATTGCAACAGACGATCACCGTTGTCAGTCCAGCGCAGAATTAAGTATACTCCTTGAAAATGCCTTTCTGATCGTCTCAGCTTTCTTAATCGAGCGTTGACGTTGCTTGCTATTATGACAATATCTGAGCGGTTTGCTTTCTGTAGCGAAATTGACAGCTTCCCATAGAATTCATTTTTCGCGTCATCCGAACTGCAATTGATGGGCGTGTAGGCGAAGATTACGAATAGGTTTCGTCTAGTCTCATGGTCCTTCGGAGTCTTTACACATCTATTCAGTCGAACAACACAAAAACGGTTGTTGACTGGTATACCGTCGAGGAGTGCGCTTTCTGCTCGACAACTCAATGGGATTAATACACTAGCGAGTCAACGAGAGCTAGACACTGGATCTCCGGACACTAGTAGGGTGAATTCTGAAGATTCACCACATTGGTCAGATGAGATCAAGTGAATAACCACACTGTGTGTTGTATTACACCACAAGTTATTATTTCACTGCTAACAGATCATATCTTCAACTTACCATTTCGTGAAATTTCATGTGCCCCAGTAACAGTTTGTAGTCAAATCCAAAATTTCTTACGGAGTGGTCTAATAAAGCATAAGATTACTCGAAAGTAACGGTATTCAAAAACTTCTATGTTATATAACTTATTATTAAGACTTATGCTGTATTCAGAGAGCCTTTCACAGTATTGCTACTTCTCTCAGATCATTTCAAAAATGAAACGATACAGTGACTAACATAGAACCTCTTTCAAGATACTAGTCTGCCACGACAATCTTCTTGAAAAGTCAAAAGCTTTCCTACATTACATTGATTAATAAATGTATGACTACAGGTTTATCCGGTCAAATCAGAAAAAAAAGTTCAGAGTAACCACATTTTTCGTAAAATATGATTTTATACCTAATTAGTGAGATCATGAATGGAGAATAATGAATTGGTGCCAATAACTTTTGTGAATGGAACATAACACGTCAGAAAAGAAACATACAACAGAGGGATAATCGTATTAATATAAGTGGAAAACTTGGGCAATGTGGCAGAATTTAATTCCTCATTAGATTGGTTTATTTGATTGATAACATAGTGATACAGTATTATTTACTTGATGACGTTTCGAGCATAAATTATTGCCCAGAATCATACAAATGTAATCACATAACTTCCGACATTTGCTTTTTATAGTCCTGTCACCTCTTATTCTTCATTTCTCTTGGTAGGAAAGTTTTCGATATCTCTGGTATTGCGTCATTTCTCTTACATGTGCTATAGCTGAACACAGGGATTTAGCTAAATATAGAATAAAAAACCTGAATAAGATCAATAACCTAGGAAAAAAAACTCGGCTATTGCGATGCATGCATTAACACACAACGACATAATAGGGTGAGTGGGATAGAACCATTGTACTCCAGTCCAACATACTTTAGTGGAAAGACAGACTGGTTACTGAATCTTTGCTCATCGAATCAACACATGTAATGAAAATGACGCAACACTTATACCAGAGATATCAAAAACTTTACTATCAAGAGAAATAAAGAATAAGAGGTGACAAGACTATAAAAAGCAAATGCTGAAAGTGTTGTGATTACATTAATATGATTATGAGTAATGATAATTTATGCTCGAAACGTCATCAAGTAAATATTACTGTATCACTGTATGTTATAAACCAAATAAATAAATCTAAGATGGGATAAGGATATTACAAAAAGACTTTGAAAAGTGCTATTTTAATCTAGCAACTCAACATTGCAATAAAATAGTATATATAAGATTCTTTTATTGTAATATCTAATAATTCTCATTCTAATAACGTAATAAACATAATATACAACAATGGACTGAAAACATTTCATTCAATATTTGCAGCATACCTATCTTAAATTAATAATTATTTGAACAAATTAGCCAGGTTACTCTAAGTAATTAGCAGTGAACTAAAATATTGGTTGGACAGTGTAAAGATTGTACAGTTTAGTTTTCTCTATAGTTGATTGGAACTACTGGTACTGACTTATCTCTATAAAACAGACAGTGGATGAATAGTTAACAAATAATTCAACTGTTCACTTTGGGAATTTTTCAACAGAGTTGACGTTTATACAGAGAAAAGATTAAAGTAATATTTCATAATATATAGAGAAAAGGTGGGATGAAAAATTATACTTCTCCAAACGTAGTAGAACAATTTTAACGGAGATGAACTGCTTATATAGATTTAAACAGAAGTTAGGTTGTAGTCAGACAATTACAAACTATGAGGTAGCAAACAAATAACTTACCGCCAGATCTTGATAAGAGAATCACAGCCGCCTGAAACGAGTCTTTTGATTGGAGGATTAATACCATTTGTTGCAGATGGATTGAATATAAATTCAGCATTGATAGAAGGTGCCCAAGAAACACTATTCACACCAACCTAGAAAGTATACAAATTTATGCATCGAACTTGATGGAAAGCTAGAAGATAAATAAACAACTTAGTATCCACGACTAGGATTTCGGACACAGCTATTGTAAAGATTGTGAAAACACTTGGTTGATGCAAACCTTGAAAATGTAGTTAGGGGCGAAGTGTGACGGAGGAGAGATAGCTCCACTAAGTGACAGAAAACCAATCTTAAATGTCTAATACGGTTCTCTAGAGAAAGATGCATAAATCAAATCGGTATCTTGAGCAAACCATCGTTTGAATGAGTCCGGGAGGTATTCAGAAGAAATCTTGAAAAATTTCCCATTACAATACTTTGCAAGCAATAGTTTTTAGTGTTAAGATATATATACCTTAAACAGTAATCTACACTAAATGGAGAATCAAAAACCTCTAAAACGGTTAATACTGACGTCTACAACTATTGCGAGGGTACTTCATTGCTTTATAGGTTTCTAAATACTCCATTTACATAACTTATATCTAAAGAATGGGTATGACAAGATGTTAGCATGAACATACTGGCTCAAAATCAACTATCTTGTCCGGAAGACTTTTGTACCAGAATATGAAGTTTGATACAAGTATGAAACGATAATCGGTAACTTCTACTATTAGAGCAATTTATTTCTCACGAAGAAGTTTCAACAAATACAAATCTTGTCAGGCATGAACTGAATACCTAGGAATCAAAATGAACTTTATTCACTCCAAAGTTTTTGAAAGTGAATCTATATATGAAAAGTGTTCTATTTATTAAATAAAATGATAATAGGTATTGGTGTTTTGGTAAAGTGAATAAAGATGAGAACCACAATATCGAATTTTGTGAGAACACTTTTGATTCGAACAAAAAACTAATAAACTTAAATAAATTGTTTAAAAGTGCTTTTAAGTTTTCACTGATTCTGCAACTGATATCAGTCTATGATGAATACAACCTTGAAACAAATAAAATCCACAGAAACTTCAAATTACGTTTCTGTATAGCGCTCATTAGTGACATGTTTCCAGATGGATATCCCGAAATACTAATGAGAAGTCGTGAACTGCGGGGTCAACTAATCGGAAGGGAAGCAGATACCTACCGAAAGCCTTGGTAGATAGTCGCGACATATTACGAATTGAAAAAAGTAGGTAACTGTGAACCATTGCACTGCAACCCAGTGACTTAATGGTTAAGGTGTTCGCTATGAAATCTAAAGGTGCTGAGTTCGACGCCTGGCGAGGTCGTGGGTGCATACTGCTGAAGAGTTCCATACTAAGACAGAACAGCTCCCCAACGCCCCGAGGTTTCTCGTGATTTTCCAACTGCTATTCTCATAAACCCCAAACTACATGATTAAAAGTAACTGGAAATAAAAGTAACTACAGAAAATCATGAATAACGCGATCAGAACGTCGCTTGCAGTATAAAGTGAAGTCATTTTATTTTATAATATCTCCGACAACTGTATATGACCTGAATAAATAAAGAAATAATCGGTAAAATGTTGCCTAGTTGCACAAAGAAAATGCTCAGTCAACATACAAATAATACAATTAGTGACACAGGCGCAGGGACAACAGCTGACATGCTCACACCACTATTGCAGAAAGTCTAAAAGGAAGTAAAGGTACCTGCCTATTGATTGCAAGAAGGGTTACCTTGTCAAACTCCCGAAGAAGGCAGACCTAAGTCTTTGCAAGGACTGGCGCGGAATCACTCTCCTGTCCACCCAAAACAAGCAAAATATTAAGCCGCATCATCCTGGAGAGACTAAAGGATGCACTGGATTCAAAACTGCAACCGGAACAGGCCAGCTGGCTGGATGCAGGAAGTACAAATCATGTACCAACCAAATTGAAACACCACTCTACGCATCACCATACAACAGAGCATAGAATGTCAGTCAACTCTACACCTCAATTTCATCGACTCAGAAAAAGCCTTTGACAGCGTCGACCCACAAGTAGTTTGGCAGTTGCTTCAACACTACGGAATACCACACACCTTTATCCTCCTCATTCAACAACCATATGAAGACGCCACATGCCAGCCAAGTAATTCACAATGGGAAGCTCAGTGATGCCTTTGCAGTGAAGTGAAGACAGCAGTGAAACAAGGCTGTCTACTATCACCCATGATATTCCTGAGTGTGGTCGACTCGACTGGATCATGCAGCAGACAACAGTGGGGAGCTGTGAGAAGAGGGGGATACGCTGGACTGCGGAAAAGAACCTAGAAGATCTAGATTTCGCCAACGATGACTTGTGTCTAATGTCACACAAACTTGAAGATCTACAGGCGAAAACTAACAAGTTGACAGAAGAGGCAGGGTAGTGAAGACGGGACTTAAGGTGAATATCGAGAAGACAGAAGTGATGAAGATACCGCACCACCAACAACAACAAACCCCAATCACCATCAACGGGAGAAACTTAAAGGAAGTAACCTCCTTCACCTATCTAGGAAGCACCGTTTCAACTACAGGTGGCACAGGCACAGACGAGGATGTCAAAGTCAGCTAGGATCGGAAAAGCAAGACAGGCCAGCGTTCATTAGCCTGAAACCAGTTTGCAGATCTTCTGCACTGCACTCAGCGTGAACAGGATCTGGATTTTCAACACCAACGTCAAGTCAGTGCTTCTGTATGGTTCAGAGACTTGGTGCGTTACGAAAGAGATTTCCAATAAACTACAGACATTCATCAACAACTGCCTACGCTGGCTCGCTACTGAAGATCAGATGGCCAGTATAATAAGAATAAGCAACAAGGAGCTCTGGCTAGGAACGAACCAACGAAGCAAGAACCTATCACCCAACAAATATGCAGAAGGAAATGGAGATGGAATGGGCATACACTGAGAAGGCCGACTGGGGACATCACGCGTCAGGCCAGACCGTCGAATGGAACCCAGATGGGAACAGCCGAGTTGGGTGTCCGAGGGTGACATGGAGGAGATAATGTGAGGAAGAAATGAGAGCTTCTGGGTTGTTGTGGAGCCAAGTTCAAAAGATTGCAGAGAAAAGAGTGGAATGAAGACGTGCTACTGAAGCCCTATGTTCCACTAGGAGCCCAAGGGACAAATAATAATAATAAATACAATTAGTGACGATAGGGGATTGGTTTAAATAGCTGAAGTAAGAAAGGAGTTATTGAAAAAGGAAGAATTTATATCAAGTGGTGGCAAAAAAGTGTAAAACGATGATAATGATAAGAGTCAAATTGTAATATGTAGAGTGAAGTGGAACGAAACTTAAAAACAAACAAAAAATGCATTGTTAAGGTTAAGGTAGAGAAAGAGGTTTCACAAAACGCTTTTGAATCGGTAGTTTGAGCTTTTGGTCATGTATAGCTAGTGACTAAAACAGATCTTTGTAGTAGTTTAATTTAGCCTTGTAAATTAACTTAAAAATGAATAAAGGAAGCCTAGGAGTTCTGGACAGCTGTTTCGTCCTAGTATGGGACTCCTCAGCAGTGCGCACGCGCGATCTGGCCAGGGACCGAACCCACGACCTTCAGGTTGCGTGGCCAGCACGAGAAGTATTCCCGAGGTTCCATTAAGAAGTCGTGACCGGTGGGGGCAAAACCTGATGGTGGTGAGGACAGTTACTCAAAGATGACATTAGGTGGCGGTTGCGCTATATCGTGAGCTGACAGAAGTTGGAAATATGGACGATTGGATTCTGACCCAGTGGCTCAATGGTAACGTGCTGGCCACGGAACCTGAAAGTCGCGGGTTTGATCTCTGGCCGGGTCGTGGGCGCGCACTGCTGAGGAGTCCCATACTAGGACGAAAAAGATGTCCAGTGCTCCCGGGTTTCCTTTGTTCCTCCAGCTGATGTCAGCCTACGATGATTAACAACTTGAAATATTTCCGAATCCCCACAACTCCCTAAAAATTAAAAAAGGAATCTTGAAGAGTCGAATGACCTAAATCCATTAGGTGTTCGCACATGGATGAAGTTGTTGTTATTAGCTCGCTTTTGGCTAACTAAATTGAGTTGCGTTCCGCAACGCGTTTCAGGAGAACTTCTTTACAATGCCGTCCAATATAGCCAGCGCCACATGAGCATGTGAACTTATAGATACACATCAACGTGGATATAAGTGGTAACCTATCCTTCATGTACTATTGAATCAAACGACAGCTGGAGAATATCAAACACAGGCTAGTCAAATAGAAGGTATTACTGAAACACTTTGGCGGATGGCTTTTCAATACTTCAGCTATAGCATCCTCTTTGAATTCCAAGTCCATGACTAAAATTTTCCCATGAACTGTAATAGGATGAAGGGTAATTTGTTTCTTGAAGTTTTTATCAATAAATCTTCTAGGTTATCCCTTATTAAGTAGTAATTTTTAAGAACATTAGTTTCATCATCATCTAAGCAGATCTTATGAATTATCGAATGAAATTTCTTTTACTACTAAGAGGTATTCAACTGTTAAAGTTGGTGACTAGTTGAGTTCAGTTTGATTCACGACAGGCTGACGTTTGCAGTGAACCATCATCCCTTCTCTTCAATATTGCATTTAAAAGGTGAAAGATGAATATATCAGCCTACACAAGGTTTAGTAGAGACCCCATTGTGATTCTGTTAGTTTGATTATTTAACACATTGATAAAATTTAACTTGTGCATTAAAAGTACATCTTAGTATCATCTGCTCTCAAAGGCTTATCGGTAGTTTAGTGTGAATGTTAGTAGACTCGACGTAATCACATCGATAACAAAGTTTCTATGACTGCGTGCTTCGAAAATAAACACCAAGCGATATCACTCACTTACCAGTAACGCTGATCTCTGCAAAGCAACAAACACACCCAAATGCATCGGGAAGGCTGTATTGACACAAAGTTAACCTAATGGGTTCAAGAATTTCATCAAGCCATTTGGTAACTAAGTGATAAGGTGAATCAAACACATTCAATATCAGTCAACCAATTATCGTCAGTTGATTCTAACCGAATCAGCAATGGACTTCCTAGGACTTATTTGACGAAAAAAACTTGTCTCACTTTATCAAGCAACAAGTGCGACCACACAATGTAAATCAGACAAATTTTCAACTGTAGCTGACTCCAACTGTACTTGTAAATTTACATGTACATGCAGAAGCAAAAACGTAGGAAAAATATAGAGCTGTTTGTCTACTAGGATTGTTGAGCACATGCTGGAAAATTTACATCCGACAGATTCATCCTCATTCAACAGCATATTAGCTAGCCACTTATGTGATATGGGAAGCCAAACAGACGCAGTTAAGTACTTCATAGCCATTAAAACGCAAAAGACTTTGCGCTTACTTCGTACTCCCAAGACCGTTACTATTCGATAAGTTCAGCCTGAAACTCTAACAGATATCTTAAGATGTTCCACATAAGATATGTTAGTATTCACTACATTGGTTACTTCTTGATTGATTGAGGTTGTATGCAGCTGATGAGAATCCTATGAAGTCATCTCATTGTGTGCACGGTGTTTTCACTGTGTTATTCAAGTTCATACAGAGAAATAGGTGTACATTAACAGTTTTAACTGATATACCTTTGAAGAAACAAACAGTTTTATTTCGTTGATTGTATGGCTCAACTCAGCTGCACGCACCAATGGCTAAAGCTTTTCTCCTTCACACTTTTCGTTTCACTCTATGTATCATAGGCATGGTTACAAAATGATTAACGTTGGGTAACTTGTCCAAAACTTACATTATTCACTTATACTACTACAATATTTGACAGTAGCTAGTTGCTTTCACAAGAAGTTGCATTTTCGATAATGTAGGCACCCGTGTGTTACAATATGAAAAGATGATTCATTTTGATTATGAAACATAAAATGAATCAATTCACTTACAGAGTGTGCATCCGTAATGCGGAAAGCACGCCATGTGTTAGTTTCATCTGACACAAGGATAGAAATCGTTCCATCTGAACTTGCACAAGCTAACATTAGACCGTAAGAATGTGGGGCCCAGCAAACACAATTGACTATGAAAAAAGAAAAGAAAACATATTAACAAAGATATCCTAGTTAGACAGACATTCTATAACTAAGTACAATCAGGCATTAACCTAAAGATATATTGGTTGGTTGATGTTGAACTTATTCAGATTTGAGAGCACATTTACACCTGAATGAAAAGCCCATTTTTGTTAATGAAGCAATCCTATGTATGATATATTTCATTTTGTCGCAGATGAATTACAGACGTCATCAACACTAGTTGGATAACAGATCTAACGTAGACATACACTTTGAGCCACGTTTATAACTCACCAAATACAAACGCCTCATTTCATATCTAAAGAAAGTCAATATCAACTTGGACCTTGGTATTATTACGCAACCATACAATTTTTCACATCTCAAATCATCAAACCAAGATACGAGGTAACAAGACTAAAACCAAAGAAAGGAAAATAGAATGGTCAAAAGCTTTTGAAAGTTATCGAACGAAAAGGAGAGAAGACGTAGCAAATAACGAAATGCAATATCTCGATTTCCATATATAAGGCTTGAATACAAAAAAACTATTGCGATTGATTCTGAGCGGTATTCCATTGAGTTTCAAGTCAGCAATTTTGGTTGTCAAGTAGACTCTAACCTAAACATTTAGATTTCCCAACACAGTTCAAATCAAAAGTCAACGACTTCATGAACTGATATTGCATTTCAGTCTATCCATCTTTTTTTCCAGCCTACATTTAATTCAGTAAGTAGAGATTACAAAAAAACAATGGTATGCTCCTCTATTCTTTCACCCTTTACTATATCATCCAGCAGAACAGCGTACAGACAACTGTCAACTGATATCCAGCTGAGTCGTGCGCTTTATCCCTTAGGAGATAACGATATACTGAAACCTGCATAACCAAGAGAACTTAGCTACAGAATCTCTAGAAACTCAAAGATTCATCATATTGGCCATATGAGGCTAAGTAAATATGCCTACTTGGGTTTTGTATGCATATTTCACAAGTATAACATACGTTTATGACCCCAAATATCAGAATTTTAGCTAACAAAGCTTCCTCTTTCATTCGAAGTTGAGGACATTGAAAGCTTAGGGTGCGATTTAAAGAAACTAGAAATACCATCCCATGAACTCAAATCGTTAGGAGAAATTAAAAACGACTTATACTCACTAACAGAGAGGTGGAACAAGATTAGAATGCAACGATGTGGAAGGCTGGTAGTGATCAGGAAAGACTTGAGTGTTGAACGAGATATCAAGATGGTTGACATATCTACTCATATCGTAGATGATTAATTTTGGTGTACCTGAGGAAGAAAGTGGATTAGTAAGAACGGTTTTGACGACCCAGATGAGTGAAAGCAGAGACCAAATTACAGCAGCTTCAGGCTGGTCACACATAGAGTTTTGGTGTTTTTTCATTGGTTGTGTTACGTTTTAAGTTACGAGACTCATACCACCAGTACTTGGAGACTGTAAACACCAACGAATGTGTTATCTTTAGGGCAAGCCCTTACTAACCCTTCTTTCTGATAGGGTAAGAAAGCATTAAAACGGAATACTCATTATTCATGCGAAACATCCTACCGTTGTCACACCTTATATGGCCAGCGGTACGACTTTTTCGAATTCCGATCATCGTCTATGTCATTCACGTTAGGAACCTAAGTGCTTTTCATCTTTCTTACTACTACACACCTAAATGACTTTTCTGGCATGGAACGATCTCAAGTAGCAACCGTTGCAACCGAAATAGCCCGTTAGGTCATTGTGATATGTTTAACCACCAAGTCACAGTAACAGTTGTCGGTCGGGTTGCTAATCTACAGCTTTCGGTGACATTTTTTTGTAGATCAATATATAGGCTCAAGTAAAATAGTTTCTTCATAGCACCTAAAATTAGCAATGGCATTGTTAGATAAAAGTGCTATCCATGATAACGGTTCCCTGTTTAGAGATTTTTGAGAACGGTAATCAAAGAAAGAATTTTCCATAGTTAGTTTATCTAGGCTATTTTATATGATTGGAATCATTATTTCCCTAACTCTACCAATGTACAATTTGGTCGCTTACTTCTGTGTTTATGTGCACTTATCACGTTTAGTTGTCAAGCTCTCATTTTTTGACAAGTTGGAGATAGAAAAACTAACCTGATAGGAAAAAAAGCTAAACAGATTAAGGACGCACGTTTCGTCCAAACTGAGAATCACTGGCTCGATGTAGTACATGCACCTTAGTGAGTGATGGAGCTTTCACTGGGGTGTAGGTGCATCCAACTGATGAGTATTAAATAGAACAAAATATGCGTCCTGCATTCCACTGCAAACTACCAGGGGAACTACAACACAATGAATATTCAAGCAGTATTAAGGCATCCGGATAGGAGTTCATCTGCCAACAGAGGTCGAGCAGTTTGATCCAGTATAGCAACGGAAAATTAAAGGCATCAAAATGGATTCAAAAGAATTTCATTCGCCGACCTATAATAACTCCTAATAAGAAGGTAAAGACTGGACATTTAACTTCACAACGATGAAAAAATGAAAGGATTATTTTACGTGGAAGTATCTGCAATTATTTTCCCTATCTGAAAGATATCCACAATACATAATGCATAATTTGGGCTTCAAAAATTGTGCAGTGACAATGATTTGTAAAGTTACTTGTGACTAGAAGTAAAAGGCTAGCAGGATATAGTGTTCATTGTATCTAACCTGAACTATCATGCTCAGCATATTCATAGACCTTTCCCCATCGTCCGTTGACTTCTCTCCAAATAATAACTTTGCGATCGTATCCACAAGAGGCCAACAAACTTCCATACATAGGATGGGACCAACTTAAGCTCCAAACTGGCCCTTGATGTCTGGCAGAACGCAATAAAAAATATACATAAATGACATTTCAACAAAAAATTCACTTGAACAGCAAGAGGCTTAAACAGAAAACTATGCACAGGAGGAAAACAGTAAACATGAAGGTAGTTAGAGATTGTGTTAAAACCAATGACACTTCCATAAATGAAATCAGGAAAACTAAAAAAGCCTTCACGGTAAATGATGACCAGATATGTTATGATTTGAAAAAGTAAGATTAAGAGGTCAGATTCAATTGGCTTGGGTAGATCTTCCTCTTTACATAAAGAAGGTGCATAAATTTGAACCTACTGTGCACTTTAAAGTGGAATTAATGTCAACAGAAATGTACAGTGACGGGTTATATATGACGACATGTATTCAGCTATGTTTCGGTTTGAAAATAAAAAGCCTGGGTCATGTAGATAACGCACACCTAGTGGAATGACCTATAGCCATTCAATCCGCGGAACACGACACAAAACACCATGTAGAAAGTTTGAATGCCTGAAGAAAATATGGAAGATTAAAGCGCAATTGGTATCAGTTTATTTATTACTATTTTTAAAAATTTCAGAGAAAAACCATGAAATTTATCATATGACCTGCGATGTTCCTGGGAAATTTGTTAATATCTTAGAAGCACTATACTTTAACACCTTATATGGAATGAGAGCATACAACCATCTCTCTCCATTGTCCCAAACCAACAGTACGGTTGGACGGAGCTGCCATATTTATCCATTTCTCTTTAACTTTATCATCGATGACACTCTCTAGATAGCTGGGAAAAAGTGCGTGGTGGTAGTGTAGACATGTTGTGAGCCCAGACTTTCTAACCTTGTATATGGAAAATATCGTTCTTCCTGTGCGTCAAAAAACGCGCCATTCAGGCCACACTCAATCAGTGTGGGTTAGCATGGTATAGGCTTGGCAACGTCGGATGGAAGTGGTATTTTAAGATTAGGAGAAGCCCATGTTTGCACTTATCCTAGGTGATGAACCATTGGAATTTTTCGAAATATTTGTGCACTTCAGTAGTTTTGTCAGTGCTGCTGTAACATAACAATTCCAACAGTAAATCGAATGCTACAGCAGCATACGTCAGAGTCATCTTTGGCAGAATAATGACGTTACATTCGTTGTTAAAGGTCGGGTATACAACATATCGGTGTGCACAGTCTAACTCTAATCCTGTTAAAATTGGCCTCTCCGAGCTTAGGGGATATGAAGTGACTTTGTGTTAGATCACCATGATCTTTGTGGGATCGCTCACATTTAGTGTCGATAATATGTAAGTAATTCTTAGGCGAAACGACGTGATTTTGGCCTGACGGCGTCATTCATTGAATGTAGTCATCTTGAGACGCTGGCTTTAGTGAGTTTGACGTATGTTGTCCCAATGGCTTGTACACCTCACTGCTAGCTTGTCAGAGGACTGATTGAATGAAGCGGACAGGTGGTCACTGTATATGGTGACATCATGAGATGAAGGATATCTGTGTCGAGTTAGCGCCTTTGGGTGCTTCATGGCTGTCTGGATTAGGTCACAGGTCATGCAGCTCTGGCTTGAAATGACAGCAGACATGGCACCGAATTGAAAACAGCTGAGATCATTCAATAGTCCTCTTGTTTATTGTATCGTTGTAAAGTAAAACAAAAGTGATGAATGTTTTTTAGAAGTACTCTAGAGATGATAATAACTCATTTTTGTTCCTTTTTTCTCCTCTTTCTCTGCCACCACTTTTACCTTTATAGTCTAACTACTTAGTATTTTGCATCCCTTGGTGTCTATAGTGCATCAAGCTTGTATTTTAGACAAATTTTAAAAAAGTAGTCAAATGGTCAAACTAAGACAAAAACACTTATCCATATTCTTTAACTGCCAGTCTTAGTCATGCAAAAGAACTATGCGTTTTCTAGTTGCAAAGATCAACGACTTGGCTTAACCCTTTGATTTACTTCTTACAGGTTCTTCTTTACAATGAAGTCGTTGAGATTTGGCGATCAACTTACAACCAGTAGACAACTAATTCCAACCTCATCCCATCTATCAAAGATTGATAAGTCAGGTAGCATCATATATCCTTAAACTACAGTTTTGGTTCACTGCCTAGTCAATGAATCTAGAAGTGAGAAGGTGAAGCATGACAACTCCGATCGATACCTTACTGTGTCATATCAGTAAAATTATGCGTTATGCAGCTAGGTAGGACATAGTATGAAAAAACCCACCAAGAGATATTAAGTTGAAATATGACAGAATTTCATCAAATATCAATACAAACGTTAGCCTAGACAATTTCCGACTGTTTGCATTTTTTTCAAGGTTCATATACTTAATTTGTTGCCAAGCACAAATATATACCATCTAAATAAGCAGATAGAAAATGGTCAACTTCATTTCGTTTGGGAACTTTACGTAGTGAACAACAAAAGAGATGAATTACATTGTAGCCCTTATAGATTCACCTTCTAACCTATTTTATATGTTTGGACCATGAATTTTGCAGTCAGCTTGAATAGTATTGTGCGGCTGCAAACTTTCTTCACGTTGTCGAGAAATGATTATTGTTTTACATTTACCCGGTGAGGCTCTGACTTCATAAGTTAAGCCCGACTTGGTCATTGAATCACTGGTAGCAAATACGCATTACCCACTTCGATTTCGATAGCTGAGTGGTGCTTTTAGCGCTAAAAATAAGTAACGATCAAATCATGATTGAACTTTGTGACCCTTCTGACTGTTTCTTGCATGTGACCTCATTTTATTCCCAAGGATTTTGATGATTACATAGCTTAGAACTCCTTTACAATAGTCTTAAGTTTCATGTGTACTATTTAAGAATATCATAGTATTTCTAGAAATTTTTACCTTTATAATGACAACCAGTGAATCACTTGGTCTACTCAAGAAATACGTTGTAAGCCAAGAGAGAGAAAAGTGCAACATTTTTGAACGGTACGCACACGCCCACTTAACAGACCAGCAGCAAGGGGAAAATTTCATTCATTTTACATAAAGAATTCGCTTCATGAAGAGCGAGAAATTGGATTTTTAGTACAACGGACATGAAGTTTTCTTATGTTTATGGAACAAATTACGACCAATTTCTTGAAAAAAAATTTCGCAGGTACATAACTGAAAAGATTTAGGTTTTGTAGGCAATTAAAACACAAATGGTTCACTTTTAAATTAAAACCCACTAAGATTAAGTTTTATGCGACAAAATATGATCTGTGAAGAAATAGACGATTGACTCTATGTTTAAGTACAGTGCAACATCTATTTTTAAGCGCGCCAGGTTTACAAAAACATAAAAATGCAAACGGTTCGAACATACTCTCGTAGATGAGCTACTAGAAGTTGTTTCTTATTCCGAACATCGAAGATTTTTACCGAATGGTCAGATGAAGCAGTTGCTAGTGTCGTACCATAATAGTCCAACTGGGCGTCATGCTAGGAATTTGATAATAAATAACATAAGAGAGGCTTACGATCATATCTTCATGGTTAGTATCGATAGTCTGAATGCCAGAAACCTGAGTGAAAAGCACAATAATAACAGAGAATTGTAGTCAAACAAAAAATTATCATGGTGAAATGATCCAGCAAATTATATACATTAAGGAATACAATTAGTGTGTAGATACAAATATACTGGTAATGTACACCAAACAAATTTGTTTAGCATTCCTATTTTAACCAAATCTTCCAGATTACAGTAACTATCTAGGCAGCTCTAAAACAATCACACTAGTTAGTTGAAGAAATTGTCTCCTATCCAATGAAAAAACAAAGACAAATTCATGTACGACCCAGCGAAAAAGTTTATCAGTTCAAGTTGCCATACTTACATAATCATATAAAGGAGAATGACACTAAAATAGTTGAGGAGTGTGAAAAGAAAAATAATAAACACATGAAGCTTAAAGGATATGTTCAAGACCTCAAAGATAACAAAGAGTGAATACATTTATACCAGTGAGGTGGAACTTGGACTGTTACCACGTCTGCGATCATTCTTTCCCAATATCACAAAACCAAAGCCTATCTTTCCGCACACAGGTCACAGGAACTGACAGGAGTTTCAAAGACTGATGACACCTAGCTTTCTTACAGCCTATTTCTACTTTGGGCAAACATCGCAGAATCCGAAAGCGTTCGTTTGGTGGGGATGAAAGCAGTGATTTTCAGCTAGTACTTTACACTTGCCACAACTGTGCTAAGGCTACTACCCATTTTTGACCACCATTAGCTCCAACCGTAAAGAGAGACGTTGTCTGACATTGCGTACTCCAGCCTCGATCCGATAGTGAACACAAATCATATTGCTATCAGTTATAGTTGGTGAAAGATTGGTGCTCCTTCTGGGACATGTGCATGCATGGTGACAGTCATCACACAGTGGTTGGAGCACGCGCATGTTTCCGCCTGAACGGTCGTCGGAAAAATACATCTGGAAGACCATTCCGATAGCCGCTCAACGATCAGAACACGTAGGCTGCTTTCAAGGAGGTGCACTGATTAGGAAGTCGTCAGAATAGAAAAACGTCTCTCGTTTCGAAGAAGCCTGGTTTCATCTCCAATCTGCCATAAAAGCAGCGTGATCCTCAGAAGGTTAGTAAGTACGAGTGGATCTCAGGAGCTTCGTCGGAAATAATGAATATACGTGAACGCATCACTGAGAATCGGAAGCAACTGAAGTGTGAACTGACAAAGAGTTCACGAAATGACCGTGGGCAGTGGTGGACAGCGAAGGCTAAACAGATAGAAAAGGCAGTGGCAATGGGTAACAGTAGACAGTTATTTTGACTTTCTGCTTCAGTTTTCTTGATCAACCAATGGTTATTGAAACTATAGTGGGGAAGGATGGTTCTGTGATTTGCGACTAGACTGATGAGAGAAACACTTGAAAAAACAGTTCAACTGGCCCTCAGGTATTATTTTGTCGCCCTCCATCTAGTCAAATTCTGACTGGAACACTGAGGTAGGCCCTCCAACTCCTTCAGAAATTGAAAAAATTGTAAGTGATTACGAAAGAAGTAGGGCAGTAAGGGGAGATTGGGTAGTACCAGACACTGGTCAACAATTATATGTTGGATTAACTGAAGTGTTAGCTAACACATGGGTATCACATATAATCTCTTCTGATGACTGGCCTCAACCAGTGATTGTCCTAGTTTTTGGGAAAAGTGATACATGCTCCTGTGGTAAACACATGGGAATCATTTTAACAAAAATAGTGTAAGATCTTAAGTCCTATAATCATAAGACGCCTAAGTAAATGTTGGGAAGGGAAAACCCGTAAAAATAAGACAGGTTTCAGACCTGGTTGTAGGTGTATAGACTAGATTTTTACCCTGTCAGATCCTCTGTTTCTTGACTTGAAGGAGACATTTGATTCCACTAATCGATAGGTCTTATGGAAGTGAAAGGAGTGCCAAGTAAGTACATCACCCGTTTGAAGGATCTACATTCAAACACTGGTGAGTTGTGTACGTCGATTAACGTCCATGCAGGATGTCCACCCTCTTCATTCGTATTCGATTTTTCTATGGAAGGCATTTTGGATATTATTCTTACCTGACTTTACCAGGATCAACGTTGTCAAACGCGACTCCTTATTAGACCCGAAGTACGCATACCAGATAGTCCTACCAGAAGTTGCTGTCAAAATGTAGAGTCACTTGGACAGACTCAGTGTCAATTTGAGAATGTTTCAAATGCGTTTTTCACTACCTAACTGCTAAACTTTGCTCCAGTGGTTGAGTGTACCAACCACTTCACTTACCTAGGAAGTTGAATCAATCATGTTGAGTCAGTGACCGACGAAATCTTCGCGTGGATACGAAGTGCGCCATCTGTGGCGACACAGCGGTATCCGATTGCCTATTAAGAATCGAGTGCACTTCGCTTCACTCCACTTTGTACTACTGTATGGCTTTGAAATATAACCATCAAAGGTAGAGGACATGAGAATGTTTCAGGTGTTCGACCATCATTGCCTTCGTGATGTAGCCCACGTTATGTAGTGCTACGATGCGAGTAGTGCAGAAGTAAAGCGTAGAGTTTAAGGGATAATAGGCAAGTCCGTCGATGAGGTTGTGAACTGTCGTCGAATCTGATGGATAGGTAGTTTGTTACGTAGACCTAATCACTGTCTGCTTCATCATGCAATGTTACCTGGAATGGGTTGAAGCTGAAAAATTAAAGGTGATCAGACCAAAATATAGCACCCGTTGATAAAGTCTTTGATTTTTGGTGTGAGTCATGTGTTCTGATTCGGGATACAAGTGACAAGCAGAATCAGTGTATGGAGAAACTATGTGATGGAGATGAGAATCCGTATTGGTGGCGCAAACACATCCACATATTATCTTAATTCAAGTCATCAGGGCCAATGTCATCATTGTTGCATTCCTACTTGTCCTTTTTTCATGATTTCTATCACTCAGACTAGCTTCCTTATTTCTTTATATTTCATATTGATGCCTTATATCTTGATCTGCTGATTTGAGTTGTGGTAACACGAACCATTACATAGTAATGCCGATACCCACATTTTTGGTGAATGACTGAAAAATCTATGCTATTTACTACATTTGATAAAAGCACGATGTATTTCAAATACTCATATTTCTGCTGAGTGCGTTTATAAGGCTCCAATGAAATATTTTTAAATACGACTTATGACACGCTTATTGTCCAACTCCATCGCATATTTAGATGCTCCTCTTTTCTGCACTCCCATCCATGAAGAACAAATGTAATCTCCGCACGGTTCTCCAAATAGCAGAAACTGTGATATACGGAATCAGATAAATATAATATTATACTTATTTTAAATTTGTTACTGTTGTATTAATATGTAGGAGTATGAACAGTGACGCTACTTGTCAATTTCTCCTTCAGCTTAATTAAACCGAGCATCCTGAGCAAAGTTATTGTTCATGCATGTGGTGAAGGGTTACTCATAACTGCTTGAGATAACATGCTAATTTTCCGAACTTAAATGTCCTCAATTGGAGAACGTGAAAGGCATCAAGTTAACAAAATTTCTGACTTTCATCGACTTAACATCAGATGAACTGACCCAAAGTACTTTCCTTTTTGAGTGAACTCAGGTGAACTGAAACAGATTAGCTCCTAAATAGTGTCTGCTTAGTAAACATTTGATGGGAGAGTACAGCTACATTGGGATCGTTTTGTCTAAAACAATACGGAAAAACTGAAATACCTGGGATAGTACTGGCTTAAATCTCAAATTTAGCTTACTTTATACTCTTAAAGACTGCAGTGGTATGTTCCCTTCATTAAAGCTGAAAAGCTTAAAGACTACTTACATATGCAAGTTTTTCTTTAAGTATTACAGGCTGAAATACCAGGCTCCAATTACCAAAACCTAGAAATATGCATCGAAATTCTAATGAGAAGTCATGACCAGTGGGGTTGACCAAATCGAACGTGAAGACAAATACTCAACGATAGCATTGAATTAAGGTTGCCCTGTTTTGGGAGTTGACAAAAGGAAATGTGGACCACTGGATTCCGACATAGTGACTCAGTGGTAACGTGTTAGCCGCGGAACCCGAAGATCCTAGGCTCCGTACCTGGCAGGGTCGTGAGAGAGTACTGCCAGGGAGTTAAATACTAGGATGGAACAGCTATCCAACGCTCCCAGGTTTCCAATGGCTACCCAACTGATGTCAGTCTATGAAGAATATCAGCCTGCAAACCGAAAGAGCTGTTTTATATTTAAACCTGTTTTCGTTACAAGACAGGGGTCCCAAACACATTAGTAAGTTGAAGCATTGTGGTGCTGCTATCGTGGACAATCTTAATCTGGACTGCATGTTGTGAACAGATAAACTATAATATGAGCAGTCTTGCACATAATTGATTGATTCAGGTTGAGGCAAAAGTTGAAAGATGGTACCCAAGCTTGAAAAAGTGTAAAAGGAAACACATGAACAGCTACAGAATAATTGTAACGTTGTAATGATGATTAAGTGTGAATAAGTCTGTGCTCACTTGAAGGACTTTCGGTTATTTCCAGGGAGTTTTCAATTGTTGGTCCTTTACATTTTAGTGATTTCATTCACGTTGCCTACATTGGCTCAGATATACTGTAAAAGGCACCATGGAAGGAAACAAATTCCTTTCCAGCCAAATGGGGTTATTTCGCAGCCTGAGTTAGGGTTCACTAGGTTGGGAAATTTGCTTTCAAGCGATAGATCCTGGGTTCAAACTTTACCCCAGCTACTTCATCGTGGGCAATTAGGTAGTCCTAACAAAAGTGTCCTTCACAGTCTAGTGCATACACACATGTGCATGGTTGGGATTTTTTTAGTTGATCCTATTAAAGTTAATACCATGATGAAGGAGATAGTGTCAACGAAGATAACACATATCAAGACCAGTCCTCTGGTTAAAAGCGTCTATAACTGTTTCACTTATTAGGCTTTTACACTCAGGTACTCTCATGGTAGGTTTTTTTTCTACTCCATGTGGCCTACATCTTTAGCTTAACTCAGCACATACATCGACCATGCACAAAATAGATAGATGCTCGCTATAAGGGGGGAAATCAGAAGCCACAATATATCCTACAAAACAGTAATCACATTTTTCCACACGCATAGATCTTGGCTTTAGCTTATATACACCACACATCTGTAGGCAATATATGTATATGTATATATATATATATATATATATATATATATATATATATATATATATATATATATATATATATATATATATATATATATATATATATATATATATATATATATATATATATATATATACCAGCCCAATCAATCAATAAATTTGAAACTACCACTTCACTCACCATCCCTAGCATGTTGACAATTTTTCAAATTACCAACAATTGTCACATGCATCTTATGAACACTACCTACTGACAATAAATACGTGTCAAATGTGTGTATTTTTTTGCATTTCTTGCACACTGATATCAAACAATGCACCAAATATCCTAAAATAACTGAATAAAAAATGTCTGAACGAACAGTAAACTGTCTAGTGAGTATTAAACACCCTATTTAGGATAGACTTCAGTTTCAAAATACGTTTCCGGTGCACTAAACCACACTGAGTGACTTAAGTGGCGAAAGGAATTCTCTGCACTTTTTTTATCATGTGACTATTTATTTCGTCAGCTCATCCCGCATTTACCAAATGTCAGGTCACTGGCACTTTGAAACTTTTGGCAGCTTCGGGGGAACGTTTGGAAATTTCGGGGAGTATCGTTTATCTCCCTATTTTGGTTCAAAGTAAATTTTCGGGGTTTTTGCCCAAAGTTTACAAAGCTCCCCCGAAGCAAATGTTATAGCTACAGCTAAGAGAATATTTCAAATACAAACTTGATGCTTAATTACGTGATCCTCACCATTGCTTTTTATTTCTAACGACATTATCTGTGAAGAAAGTACTAATCTAGTTTAATCCACCCACAACTAACCAAATTTAGTTGAAAAAATGAATACACAAGTAGCTGAGAACCATTTTACTTCCCTAAGATATGAGGCGAAACCGAATATATAACTAGGGTCTTAGGTGCTAGGATCCAATTTTATTTCCAAACCGTTAGAACTATTACCATTTTTTGTAAGCAATTCAACACGTCACAAAGTAGCGCAACAGCTGATTTTACCACGCTTTCGAATAACATCCAATATCTTATTACCAGCTAATGTAAACCAGTTGACTTCTTCGCACTAGCTTCCAGGTTTTGCGGAATGGTCCCAGGTCTTTGGCGGATTTTAATCCAGCAGGTCTACCTATTCACTTAATGCAGCTCTGGTTAGCTCGGTGGGGGTTGGGCGTCGATTAAATTTGTAGGTAGTGTGTAGTTTTTTTAAAGACTGTGGTGCAGATGGGTTCCTCACGTGTCGTGCCACTAAACAGTTGGTTGGGGTGGTTGTAAAATGAAGGGAGAAAATATGTCTGGAGAAATCAAGGGAGAGGAAGTGCGAAGAAAAAGAAAAAAACTATGAGGGGAAAGGAAACGGAGTCGATGAAACCTCGGTCGATCCATGGCAGAAGAGTGAGAGTGGGGGCTTTTATTAGGTAGTGTGATAAAATAAAGTCAGAAGGAAGAGAAGGGGCAGATAAGATCGCAGAACAGGCCATGGAAATAGGGGTAGTAATACTATTACTAGAAGATATCCGGAGATGTCTACGGGGAAGTATGAGGTGGAACTAGGTTCACGATTATAATAGCGCTGCAAAAGGTTCGGTAGTGGGTTGGTAGTGATGAGTTGTGCAGAGTTATTAGGTTGTATCAACTTCGTCTACATCCCAGGTGGATGAGCGCAAACTGTGCGTCGCTGAGAAATTGTCCCACCTCTTCTTGAAGCTGCCAACAGACGGAGCAGTAGCAATCTTGGCAGGCAACGCGTTCCAGTGGCCGCAGACCTACAGAGAGAAGTGTGGACGTAAGCGGGTTTTCGCCCTTTTGTGGGCATTTCTTCTCTTGTTACCACGAGGATCGTCACAGTGGCCGTTCGGCAGGATTCCACCGTTCGGATGAATTGGATTACTTAGTATTTTATACGCGTAACCGAGTTGCCACGTAATCCACAGTATCTAAGAGAGGCCCTAGGTTTTTCGGCCTGTCCTCACGGGGCTTTCACCCATTCCCACGGCAGCCTTTGCTGCTCGTCCTTGGACTTTTTCCAGGAGGTTTACATCTCTTTTCAGACATGGTGGTGCAATGGGGTTGTGGACCACTGAGTGAGGTCGTATGTAGGTCTTGTACAGCTTCGGCAAGAGTCCCTGGGTGACGGCACCTAGTTATCCACTCATGGGGCATAGTACTGCGTAGGCTCTGGAGGCATCTCCTGGACAGTTGGGGCTAGTGTCCAGCTTGTCTGTGGGTATTAGTCCTAGGGCTTTACCCGTGGCCGTGCGGGAACGTTGTGTCCCACAGAGAGAATGAGGTACTTTCTGAGGTTCAGGGGTGCAGAGAAACACGGTTCGGCACTTATCCAGACCAAAAGCTAGTCTGCTATTATACACCCACTCCGCAAGTAATCTGAGATCACTTTGCAGTGCACTCGATTCTGCTTCACATGTCACAGCTCCCCACAACTCTACATCCCCAGTGTAAAGTGGAATTGGGGGGCTGGGATTCAATGGAAGGTCGGTCACAAAAAAAAGAAATAGCACCATACCAAGAATCGCTCTTCGCGATACACAAGGTGATGTTCTCCAAGTTGAGCAAACCTCATGGGCTTTTTTGCAGAAGTCCCCGCCGTCTAAGTGGTCTCGTAGCCAGGAGAGCACCTGATTGCTGGTACCAAACCTTGATATATTGCAAATGAGAATGGTGTACGGGACTGTGTCAAAGGCCCTAGCAAAATCCGGGTGAATAACACAGACAGGGATTTGGAGGTCCCAATATGCCCTCCACTTATAACCGGCAGCCAGAACGTTCGGGGCACAGGACCTACCCTTTCTGAATCCACGCAGGGCATCACTTTCTGCTCCCCTCTTTCCCAAGTGATCTCTGATATGGTAGTCTGCTAGACTGCCCACTGCTTTTGACATCACGGGTAGAAGTGCTAAGGGTGGATAGCATTTCGGGTTCTGCTTGTCTCCTCCTTTGAGGATGGGGGACGGAATAGAACATTTTCACTCCCCTGGAAGCATGTAATTGTCTAAGGAGTAGTGAAACATTACGGGGGAGGACACATGAGACGCCCGCGCATCGTTTCAACTCGACTGGCCGGGTGTCATCGTGCCCCGGTGATTTCCCTGCACGGAGCTTTGGTAGCCTTTCGAGGGCCATAGCAGGAGTTACCCTTAGTCCGAACAACTCTGCTGCACTTGGTGGCCCTGAATATTGGTCGGGCAGTTGGAGATCTTGGTTAGATAGCGACGTGCTGACTTGTATGTTAAGGGCGGCGCTGAAAGCTTCGGCGATCTCTAGCCCAGATGTACCCTCTCCGTTCAGGCCTTTCAGAACACAAGCCCCCGGCTGGTTGATTTTTTCTCTGCCATGAATCGACATAAGTTTTTGTCGTTCGCCTCAAGCCTCTGGGCAAAGTTCGTCTGAAACGGGCTCCCGTCCCTCCCTCACTTTGATGTTGCATAGATTTCTTACCGCCATATATGTGATATGATCGGGCTCTTCTGGAGACCCTCCACGTATGCCCTGAGTCCCCCTTGGCTTTCAGGAGCCGTTAAGGGCTTCGGTTCAGCCATGAGGTTTGTCTCCTTGGTATTGTTGTGATCGCCTGGACGCTTTCAGAGACAGCCCTCTTGGTTCTATCTCCAACCGGTTCCCAGTGTGATCGACCGGAAGGTTACACCTAAGGCAATGGTGCTGCCGACAGGTATTGGCTTACTGCTGCGTAGCCTACCCTGCTGTAGCAAAGGCAAGGGTGAGCTCCCTCACATGACAGCTGTTCGTCGAACACCAGATCAAACGCTACCCCACCGTTATCGCTGCTGCCAAGGGGGGTTTGAACCTGAACGTCTTCAGCCAGCAGGTGGCCGCTGGTAAGAAGGTAGTCCAGTCAGGGCGGTTTTCCGCTCGAACTCCAGCGACTGTCATCCCCAACATTCTCATACAATCCAGCCTTTTTAATAGCGTTGAGTAGGTTTCGGTGGAACCCCAGGCTTGAGGTTCCCATGTCCTGTCCAAGATTGAGCATTGTAGCCTTAAAGCCCCCGACCACGATGACCTATTCATATCTTATGGACGTCGCTTCGGACATTGCTTGGGGTGGTACCAGATACTTGGCGTGTCCAACAGCAAAGTGGCACCAGATGGAGCCCGATAGCCTTAAAAGTGGAGTTTCAGTGGCTCCTTCACTTTCAAGACGGTCACTTGTAAACATTAACACTGCCTCCTTCCTTACACTCCCTCGTTCTCCAGAACAGATAGACGCACGCCGTTTATACCGGTTTCGACGTCACTAACATCTAGCGATAATCAAGCTTCTGTTAGGAACATGATCCTCGGAGCAGGGTAGGAACAGAGATTGTAGTTCCCTTATCCTGCCTCTTAGTCCCCTCACATTACTGCAAAGATGTTTGGAGGTGTTTATGACGGCACGGAGTGTCTTGGTGATGGCAGGCTGTCAGGGTTGTGTGTAAGGGGGGAATATATTACGGAGCGGCCACCCTCAGTTGAACCGGCCCAATCGCTTTTTTTCCCACAGTAGTTTCCTGGGATTTTATATGGTCAAGGTCAGTTTGGATATCTTGTCCTTTGACAGCGATGGTGACATCGGCACTAGGCTGGACTGCCGTTTGCCGCTGTCGTAGTGCCCTGGGCGTGCTTTCACAGCATCGGACGTACCCGCTGATGTTGTCTTCAACCGCGTACCAATCTCGTGATACTTTGGTTGGAAGTTCTCGACACCCGGAGTTAAACGTCATCAACACGGCTATGTCATCGTCGTCAAATGTAAAGGAAGGGGCAGTCCGTCAGTCACCGCCACTGCTATCCCGTTTAACATTATCCTTGCCGATAGCCGCCGCCATTGCTGAACGTCACGGGCATGCTTCCGTGCTGGTGTGCCGGTTGTTAGATCAAGTGTGCCGCGGACAGCCATGGTTGTTGGTTTCAGCGTGTGCGGCGCCTCATGAGACACTTTTCTCGCTGGTCGCGGCCGGTCTGGCCCAGCCCTAATGCCGCCGTCTTAGCCAAGCGCAGGGTCACCCTCATCTGGGAGGGGTTCCCCTGAGGTGGGCGGTTGCCTTTGTAGAGCCGGCGCAGCTTTGCTTCTGAGCTGCCCATAACAAGTGTGGCATATACCGTTTGCCATTGCCATTTGACCGCGCTCCTTGAATAGTGATGTGTTTTCGCCCGTCACTCAGCTTTTGGATTTTTCCACATTGAAAAACTCCCACTTGCAATACTCAATCTAAAAAGATCGAACGTTTGCAGCACTTCTGTCCGTCCACGCACCTCACCCCTGCGTATTCGTCAGCTCACTCCTCAACAGTTGAAAATTGGCATTATTATTCCTTTGAACCAACCGGTCTACCTCCTGTCAGTGGTTCTTGGGCGTTTCAACTGCCAAACTGCCTTAGCTCTCGGTTCTCCTCGGAGGTCATTCCCCAGGAAATATCTTTCCTGGTTATACATACGCATCTGGAGCTTACGGTTAAACTCGTTGGTCAAGAGCAGAGGATCAAGTGACAAGTGTCTGAAGGTGAGCCAACATAAATTATCTTCCCTTTTCTATTCTGTCCTTTTGCTGCATTCAGTCTTCAACCCTCTTATTGTTGTTAACTACTTGTTTTCCCAAGAAGTTTATATCATAGCGACATGTCTGCCCAAAACGCTAGGTCTGAAGCTTTGACACGGATAACGCGGTCGTGCACAACAACGGCCAGTAACACCCTAAACAACACACTAGTCTGTACTAGAAGACAAACAGAGGTAGGGCAGAACACCGAACTTCTAAAGAAGTGGCCAACCCATGTTTCTAGAATTCCAGTCGCCATCAGACAGGTGACACAGAGAAGCACTAGCCCGTCACAAACTAGTCCTATCTTGAGCAAGGATCATACCATGCCTGAAATAGAAGACGACGTAAAAGGCTTCAGAACAAGGCAGCCACAAGCAGTTCGCCACAATCCGTAGCACCTTATTCATGGAAGGAAGGCTGTATTACGACACCCGATGGCTGCAGTGTTTGCACCAAAGTTGTTTCGGTAGTCGATGAGGCATTTGCATGCAACCTATGTCAACGATGGGCGCATTGCCACTGCGATACCAAAGTCCCCCGACAATACTATAAGCTGATGAAGAGACAACCATGCAAGTGGTTCTGGTACATCTGTCCAGAGTGCAGGAAAATGCCCGCACTCCGCACAGAAAGCCTGAAGGAGATGCTCTCCGCCACGCAAAAGCTACCAGCATCCTCGAATAAAGTAGGGTTAACACCAAAGGATAACACAGAGAGACCTGGAAACAGACCTAGAGCTCCAGCTGTGGGCACGCCACCTCGCGTGGGGACCATATTAGGTCAAGTCTCCATACCCCCACCCGGCCCCAGGGGACGTCAAGCGCATGGCCAAAGACATCGACCGCCGAAGCCTCTACGAAACCCATTCCGAACACCCCACACACCGTGACTGAGAAACAACCAGTGGAATTACTCAAACCCATTGGGAAGTCGGGCGTGCCACCCACAACGAACCCAGGTCACAGGAGGACCAACTCGATCATTTTGTTCAACGTCGATGTATCGACAGACTCATTGTTGGTCGAGAGGGAACAATTTGACAGCCGAATGTGGACCGACTACTGTCAGATGCTGGGACTCCCTCCCCTCCCTGCAACTTTATGTCGCCTTTCTCGAGGAAGCCATGCACCCCGAGATAAGCCACCCCCTTTACGTGTGTCCCTAAATACCGCCAAAGAGGCTGAAGACACACTCCTTCTCGCGACAACCGGACGTTGTTAATGCCTGTAAAATTCGGGCCAGGCCTGACAAGCCATGGTCAGTAAGAGAGGAGGAGAGAAAGTCAGCGGTTGGAAATCCCAACAGAAACAACACTATAGTTGTACATGGGATTCCAGAATTGCCAAGTGACAGCTCGGTCAAAGATCGGTACTTTCACGACGTCCAACAATGGCAATGGCTCTCAACCAAAGTTGGTCTCAACAGTATACCGGCCAACAGCGTCAGTAGACTGCCAAGGCCAGCGCACCTGAAGACCATACCCAATCCCAGACTACTTGCCGTCCAGTTCGACTCATATGCCTCCCTCACAGACGTTCTGCACGCATGGTATAATGCGAAGATCGCATGGGTGGCTCAATACGTATATGTGAAAGTAAGCCTAGACCCACAAGGCAAGAGGAGAGACGGCAACCACCAAGACCTCTGGAGTCAGTGGTCGTCACACAGGCGCTGACCAGTGAGTTAGATACATCAAGTAAAGAAGCCACCACTGCTACAGCCCCCACCCAAGTTAAGAACAAAACACAAAAAAACGGAACAATGCCAGTCCTATGAGGACTGGCGAGGCTAAATTCAACCACGTAAGCGCTCATCCCGCGAAAATACACATCCAGACCTCCCCTCTCATCAGGCACACTCTAATATGTATGTACAGCAACGTTAGGGGGCTAAGAGGGAAGGTAGCAAAATGAGGACGCTGCGTGAACATCAGCACTCCGACATCATATTCATCACCGAATCCTGGCTCTCATCGGACATCTCCGACGAAGAGATGCGTGTTGCTGGCATGGAACTCTTCCGCAGGGACAGGGAACATAGAGCAGGAGGGGGAGTGGCTATCTACGTAAACTCCTGTTTAAAGGCAAGGATGGTTAGCGATACGGCCTTAACCCAGCTCCCAGAGTCTCTATGGTGCTACTTCACTCTCTTCTTTATTCTCTCTTCATTCCTTTACCACTACCTTACTATTCTCTTTCAGGTACCTACACAGACAGGAGTCATGGCAGTTCTCTAAACTTCCCAGCAACCCGTAGCTCCCTAATCACTCTACAAATTACAACCTACTAACCCACAAAACATCCACCTCACCGAAGCTAAAAGCAAGAAAGCAGAGGGGATTTCCTCGTCCACTGCAGGAGTAAACCGAACAACTGGAACCAAGCCCTAAGAACTAGACGCGAGAGATCAAAAACTACCAGTTTTCTACGCTCGCACTATCAATATTGGATATTAGATATTGGACTTGTTGCATAACACATTGTAGTTTTGAAACTCTAGTAATTTGCTTCAAGGTAGAAGGTTGTGAGATGGAATGTTGAAGCTTGTTATGGCCATTCAAAGGAAATATTGTCGGTCGCGTCCTTGAAGTAAGGTCGTCATCTAAAAGTAATAACCAGACTGCGTTAAAAGTTAGATTTTCTCCCATTTAATTTAATGAGTGCGCGCAGGAATCATACATGTCCTCATACTTGTGTGTCTCAATAAAGTCTTAATGTGCATTTGAGTCTCAGTTGGCCAGATAAGTAGCGGATAAAAAAAAGAGCGTTACTACACCCAACGGTTATTACTGCAAAAAATGCGGGAGCACCATGAATACTGTTTGAGCTACTCAAAGAGTACTGAGAGTACATCTTAGAATGTTTGGCAGGTCTAAAGTTAGGGAGGTTGTTGGGATCTTTGTAAGGTTTTTCGAATTCAGTAAACACAGGCGTAATATTGGTTTTATTAGCGCTGTACCCAGCGTGCCAAAAAGCCCATAGAGTTATTTCACCTAATTACATCCAAAGTACACTGAGAGTACGCTGACTGGCTGGTTATTTATGCAACCAACTCTCACAGCACGAAGAAACAAATGTGAAGAAATCAGTCTAACCAATCGGTTTATTGCAGCTGGTAAAATATTTTGAATCGATTTTACTGACATCTAGTTTTCTCCTCAGTGATATATACTGCGAAAAACATAGCATTTATCAAGGAAATACAAATATCTTTAGATGACAGACTATATGTTTCCAGTAAAAAGGCTACAGTTTGATCAGCAGCAGTTAAAAAATGGTTCTGTTTATCGTATATATATATATATATATATATATATATATATATATATATATATATATACGGCGGAGGGATATTTGAAATAAGGAAATCATCAATATCAAGATAATTTTAAATATGTTGAAATCGGACTAACCTGTAGTATAAAGCAGTATAGGTTGCACTTGGATTTTGTCGTAAAAACTATGACTAAGGCCTGTGGTCACTTGGAAAGCCACCCAGTTCGTCAACGTGGAGTCTTTGCAAACTCATTGTAACTTTATGGTAGCAGACGTTAAAAGGATGACTGCGATCACTGAATGCTTCTTACCTTAAAGATTCTATAGCGCTCACATGGAGACTATGGGGTTTGAGAATCACAACGTGTAACTCAGATTAAATTAGAAGTTACCACTGAAAACAATTAGATACCTTGGTAGAGCTTCCGAACCAGTGTCAATAGGAAGTGTGGCCTAAATGTAGTTTTGTAGTGGTGTATTGACCAGTAGCATTCATCTGTGATGCTAGATAAGTCTTTTTGATAACCTAAGTCTACGTTGCCTTAAAATATTGCTTAATTTTATGTCACCGTGTGCATTGCAGTGGCTGTCTTTTTCCGAATTCACCTATGCTTGGATAACTTGGTTAACCGTTTTCAATTTGTTTGGTGTATTTACGTAACCCAACAACCATTCCATGGTATCCTCTAGGTGAATTTTGTGTGCATTTAATTCAGTAGGGTTTGTAGGTCGACAAAGCTTTCCTCTGAGTTCATCAGTTTTATTACTATGCTAATTTCCTCTGTTAATAATTAAAAGTTTTCGATATCCTTTATTGTAAAGTGGAACTAAAGAAGCCTTGACACTTTTTTTAGTTGCATTTCAGTTGATTAGTTAGTCTATAATAACATTATTTGTCAACACCATATTTTCACACCTCACATCAGCGCATTAAGATACAAGCCGGAAAACAAAATGGAAATAGTGTTATCGAAAGTCATTGAAGCACAAAAAAAGAAAGGATAAAGCAAATGGCGAAATGTAATATCATGATTGGGGGAAAATAAAGTGTGAATGCATCTGCATTACTGAAATTAGTCCTGTAAAGGGTTGGGCATGCAACGCTTCGGTATGCGCAATCCAACTCTACGCCTGTGAAATCTGGCCTCTCCGAGCTTAGAATATATGGGGAATCTGCGTTTTTGATCATTATTTTTGTAGGGTTACTACTATCGAGTGAAGACACTATAGAAGTAATTCTGAGGTGAAACGATGTAATTTTGGCCTGACAACGTTTGTATTCATTGAATTTAGTCACCTTGAAACACCCGTCTCAGTGACTTCGATATCAATGATGTCTGTCACCCCAGTGGCTTCCACACCTCACCACTAAATATATGGGGTTATATTATGGGATGGAGGACAGTTCTGTTGGGCCAGAGTCTCCAGGTGGCTCTTGACTACCACTATTGAGTCACAGGTCATGCATCTCTGGCTTAAAATGACAACAGATATAACCCCTAACTGAAAACAGTGGAGATCAGGCCGCAGGTTTCTTTTTTCTTGTGTTACTGTAAATTAAAATGAAAGTGTTACATATTTTTTGGCTATAGTTTTGAGACCACTTTGCTGATATTCCATTTTTGTATTTGTTCAGGTTCAATTTTTCTCAGTTTGATGTTTTAAGTAAATAATACAGAAATAACTATTATGATATCACCTAGAGCCTTCAGCCATCGATTCTGAGGCCATTTGAACCCCAACCTATACGTCTACATTTCTAAACATATTTCAAAGTAACAATCAGATTTTGGGTAGTAAAAATTTGACTGTCTTCAATCTTTTCCCCGGCGTACGCCTGCAGCTAACGTCACATGTTTGCATTCATCGGCTAAGGGTACGTAACACCTAACCATATAAGTCAATGAAGTTGCACAACCTCACCAACTGACTTACTTTTTTTGACTAAAACTTTACCTCTAAACTCTGAATTACTAAAATGATTTCCACATTACACGAAAGAAACAGTAGTTGAACATCTGAAGTATTCTCATGTCCTCTACCTTTAGTAAACATGTTTCACTCATAGGGTAGGACATAGCTAACTTTCATACAATAGAGGTTCTTCAGTAGGCAACCGGATATCTCTTCTGTGTCGATGCGCTCAGTTACTTCTCTTCCTGTTGTTGAACAAGGTTTCAACCCAAACCTGTCCTGAAGCAAAAGTTTTGCATTTGGATGGTGGGGAATACACCCCTAACCACCAGTTGTCGCTTAGCATCCAAGAGACGACATATCTTGTCGGCATCCCCACCTAAAAGGGTTATGTTGTTTGCATCCTGCAAATTTTCTCAATTAGTTTCTTACAATGAAATCTACTTCTGTTAAGTCGGATGTGGAGAGGTCTTCATAAACACGTCTATGATAAGGTTGAAATAAATAGGGGAAGTAAGCATTAATGACGAACACCTATCGACCTAAAAAAAACCTGAAACCCTACCAGTGTGACCACAAGTGTTTGAGTATAACACCTCAAAGTCAAAAAGTATTGTAATTATCGAGCACTAATAAGTCTGAATTTCAAGACATGTGGAGGGATGACGTAGTCGACGTATTGACAGCCAGAGGTTTTCCTAGCTTTGTCGTTCTCGATGATTATGGAAATTAGAATCATCAGGACTTTGTCGGTCAGATTGATTTCTCTCATCATTACAGGAAAATTTTTCGTTTATGACTGGGATAACCAGCTATGGAAATCATGGGCGGTCTTGCCACATCCTCACATTCCGACTGATACTGTATTCAGTGTGACCAGCAATCCTCGACCACCATCCTTAAATATCTCTAAAGCAAGCTCATTAAGACTTTTAACCCTTGTTCTTCTCTGGTTACTTGCAGTCTTCTCAACTTCAGTAGTTGGAGGCTGTAGTTCAATATCCCATACAGGATGCGACTGGATAACGAGCGACCGAAGAGTAGCTGGAAGTCAGTGAAGCTTTTTCTCGAAGTTTACTGCTCACTGTTCAAATCATCTTTTTTTGAGTGAATCACAGATTCATCTGAGGTCGGAGTGGTTGTCAAATTATAGTTTTCCTATGCTTATTCAGGTGCAAACATGCGTGTGCTCCTAGCAACATGTCGCTGTCAAGGCAACCTACTCCATCTGTGGTAACGATGTGATATCTGATTGTCTATTAAGAGTCGGATGTACTGTGCCACAGCTCGCTCTGTTCTATTGTATGGCTGTGAAAAATGGCCATTAAACGTAAGGGACATGAGAAGGCTTCAGGTATTCGACCACCGTTGTCTTCGTAGCATAGGCTGTGTCCTGGTGTCACCACATGAGTAACGCAAAAGTCAAGTGTAGAGCTTTAGAGAGGAGGTAGTCTGGTTTATAAAAGTTCACAACCTCATCATCTGAGCTGGGTGGGATGTGTTATGCACACCTAGTCACTGTCTGCCTCATCGCGCAATGTTAGCTGAAGTAGGTTCAGGCTAGAATAAGGCTAGGGCAGCCAGGCTAAAACGTGACATCGGTGCATGAAGTCTTTAACTGTTAGTGTCAACCATGTAGGGCGATGCAGAGTAGCCAGTCGGAGTCCATGTGACAAAAAAAAACAGTATTTGGGGACTCTAGGCGATGTGTCTCGCAACCGATGTCAGTGGCTCAGATGTATCCATACATTATCTTCATGTTAATCGCCATAGTGAATTCAGCATTTTCTCACTCCTCGTTCCTCTCTTTTACTGCTTCCTACTTCTTTTGACAGGTTCTTTATTTTTCATCTTCCATCTTATTGCTTTGTTACTTGATGTTCTGATATGAGGTGTGACTACTTGGACCGTTATGCAGTAATGCCTGTTCCTATGTTGGTATTAATGATGATGATGCTATCCAGGCAAATGCCACAGAAAAAGCGGAAGTCTTTCACTTCCTCTCTATCACAACAACTAATGAGGTTACGGTGTGTGTCCAGGTTTTTACTTACCATGTCAGATAACGTCTCTCTTTACACCTAAATAAGGGCTGATCAAGAGTAGGTAGATGTGTGAGCGCAGTTGTAGGAGGCATTCATCTTGCGACACCTGTTAAAAAAAGTTCATTAGTAAGGTTGATCTTAACGGCCTCGGCGTATGACAACAGAGCCCTTGGGATGTTTGCTTGAGGCTGGTTGACACAACCTTTTGGGGAGTTCTGAATTTAGAATTTGTGCTACATCTGAAATCGAAAAGCTCATACCATTAGCGCCTGAAGACCGCTCAGTAGGGAATTTTACTATTTTCAGAACTGACCTTTCTTTCTAACAAAGTAACGAAGAGTTATGCAAATCATATGACTGTTGTCACACTTCATATAACTGGCAGTGCAACTTCACCATTGGACTACCACCATAGCCTATGCTATTCACATTATGAGATTAACTGGTTTTAATCTTCCTTATTGCCACACCCAATAGACCTTTCTGGTACGGCAGGATCTCAAGTAGGAATCCTACCAACAAGTATAGCTCGTTGGGTCATTTTGATATGCAAACTTGACCACCAAGACAAAGTAGCTGCTGTCGGTTGGCATTTTAGTGATTACTTATGCCACTTATTCTTTTTATGTATTCCAGCGAATCTCAACAAAAGCTAACGAATAGTTGTGAGATTATTGTTTCCTTCAGATCATGCTAGGTTTAGTCCGAATTGAGAAATACATTGATTATGCATGTGTATTCCACCGAGGGCTTAAACATAATTTAAAATATTACATGCCGAAATTCAGTGACATCGTATAACAAAGTCATTGAACCGCTTCTTGACGTTGCTCTTAAAAAGTAATGTAGCAATGGAAGGTTGATTGTTTTGGTTTCTGCTGTTTAACATTGTTACCGAAGGCATTTTCACTTCTGCTTCAGAGTTGCGTATTTCTATAAATCTGTCACTCAAAGGACTTTTCAATCCTGAATACCGAGATAACATTTCACTGCACCACTATCGTTTAATCTGTTGCTTGTTTGTGTTAACTTTTTTTTCTGGATTAGTATGAACTTGTAACTTTAATTTTAAAGAAAGCTGTTAGAAATAATTGAAGTGCTCGAACATATGGATGGTTGTTTACTATATTGAAGGTTGGATAAATGAGATAAGTGTACACCTATGGAAAGTCACAATGTCATGCACTGTTCTGTCATCTTTAACATGATCTCATCTTTTAGTGGATGAGTGAACACTTAAGTGCAACTGAGTTTAATCTGTATATGAGGAGTGATCTGTTGTACTCGAATGTGTATAAAAACGTTATGTGCTGGGTCATCTGTATCTACGTGTGATTGCTCGTAGCAGGTGGAAACAACACAAGTATTTCTGAGATGCAGTGTTTGTATTTGAGCCTGGGGAAGTTGTCATTTAGTGAGGTAGTTATTTTAAAACCCCGGCTTTATCGACTTTCACATTCGCAGTCAATTATATAGTAAAATTTTTGCAGGTTATAGAAGTTTGAGAAAGTCGAGGGTTGGTTAGTTTTATTACTACCATTATTATTATTATTATGGAGCTGTGCAACCAAGGGTATTTACATTATTTAGACGTTTGCTGCTTTGAGAATGGTGTTTAATATGCCTTGTGATCCAGTGGTATGACATGTCATCAGACAAAATGCAGGGGTGGCCTTATTATGCTTTTTTGTGTGTTCTACTTATGAGCAGTTACAATGAAGTGAAGTGAACATTTCTTACACCCAATTACTCTATACTTGTTAACCATTCTTTTGTCACATTACTTTATATAGTACACTCAAGAACTATTAACCTTTTCTAAGCTGATGATTTCTTGAGCTCTCGGTATCACACCTGTATAATCAAAGCATAATATTAATGATTTGGAAAACAGAAATAGTCTCATCAAGATCTCTTCGGAGAAACTTCTATGTTTATCACGTGATACTGCTTCTGCTAAAAATAAGGCTGTAATGAGATTGTCAGCGACTAAAATTTAGCCCGTACTTGAGCAGCACTGTGAATCAGTACCCTATGTTAACCAGTTACCGGTTCAGTTTCTTACACCATCTGGTACTTTTATGTTAGGTCTTTCACTTACTAATTCAACAAGGAGTACATATCCCCTAACACCTAGGTCAATATCCACAATGTGTGAAATCGGTAGTAAAATAAAATACTGCTTTAACACGTCAGTAAAAGTACCAATTTATATAATAGTGTGGATTGGAACCTATTCACTGTCCTTTTTGGCTTAGATCATGTAGTTTGTTACTAATTTTCAGTCCACCAGATTACATGTGAGGTAAAATGGGCCTATTGGCTACTCCGTACTAACTTTATCATCAAAGTTAGCGTTGATATTGTCTAGAAAGACAATAAAGGTGTCGTGACTAAGCCATCTAACTCATAATATGCAACGCAACCAATTATGACACATTATTGTGTTACTTACTTTCTCATACGTTTCTGGTCCTAATTTATTTTTCTAAGATTTACTTGCTTCTATAAATTTGTCATTATTCGCATGAATAAACTTGTTAATCCTGCTAGAAGACATTTTATTGCTTTTTTTTTCTTACTGTTCTGCACTAAATATTTTGTTTCTGATGAAAAATGCGTAACACATATATCCTAACATCCAATCGTTTTTGTGATTCCGTTTGCTAGTCCAATTTTCGTTCGTGACATTTTTAACTTGGTCAATTTGTGGTTCGTATCTCATAAGCACTCATCTACTACAAGATAGGAATGGCTTTAAACTACCCTTTTTTATACAAGTGGTTCGCACATTATAGATCTATGGCTAAGTATCCTAGGCACTCGACTTTCAACTGTTGGATCGCGGGTTCAAACCCTACTCCACTTACCGACGTTTGGGCAGCCAGGTTGTATCGTTTGCCTTCAAACAATAGATTGCCTACTGCACAAGTGTATACGTGTTTTCTGAGTGCGTTTCAGCTCGATCCTACCGAAATGCATGCAGTGTGTAAATTCAGCCTACTGCTTGGCACAAAATTGCGCAATATTACTTCCCACTCATGCGTTCACTAACAGACTTATATTCATCTTTAAAGTTCCATTGTTTCCTTAGCTATCAAAATGTGGCGCATTTTCTTAGGCATTCGACTTTCGAAAAATACGTTTAGATTTGTAACTGTGTTCCACCTAGTTCAAATGGAACAACGGGGTAGTGGTTTAAACCTAATTATGCGTGTCACCTTTTTTGTGCTTAGAATAAAATGATACACACTTAGTTGACATTGTCTGTTCACACCATTTTGGATTTTTTAGAGAGGTAACAGGCGGGAACTTGACTTATTTTGTTCGACGTCATTAGATAACTTGAATGCATGCACAAACGGCTATAATCTATGCACAAGTGTAATTTATTTAAGGTATCCCCTGAAAATTTAACATTACATGTCGATTTTTCTTTCTCAAATATTAGTAATTGTTGGCATATTAATTGCAGTGTATTTTATTACTTTTATAAATTATGTCCAGTAATCCATAAATGGATTGCATTTTAACTCATTCATTCAAGTTGATAGGATATCTGCCTTTGGTGTTTATTTTCAGAAGCCATGAAAACAGTGATACAAAGACCGACGGGACTGTTGATCTTATTGTTCTTCAGCTACTTTTTCATTTCATTAGCTCGAAGGGCTATACAAAACATCTACCCTATAATTCCAACTGAACATAAAGGAAATAAAGGAAATACACACTTAGGTAAGATTTATGTGTTAATTTGTAAGTGGCATTATAATGAGGTATCTACAACTGTGCTAGGGCAACTACCCATGAACTTCAACCATGAATAGAGATGTCTGACGTTGCGTTTTTCAGCCTTGATCCAATAGTGGACACAAATTAAACTACCATCAGTTATAGTTGGTGAAAAATTACTGCTCCTTCTGGGACATGTGCCTGCATGGTGATAGTCACCACACAGTGGTTGGAGCACGCGCAGGTTTCCGCCTAAACGGTCGTCGGAAAAATACATCTGGAAGACCATTCCGATAGCCGCTCAACGATCAGAACACGTAGGCTGCTTTCAAGGAGGCACTTGGATTCCGGAACGAATATCACTCGCCTTCGCAAGGTAAACTAAACCTGTCTTTGGGGATTGCTTCAAATACAGCGACTACTAAAGTTAGTGAACTAGAATCACCTTACCTTCCGGTTGCATTGTTCCCATTGCAGTGAGCGGAATCCTGATGGCTAGCGTAGCCATCCGTGCTTTGAAGATTTGTACCACTTATCTTACGCATATGAATCTTGTGTACCGCGGTTTTCGCTAAATCAGCTTGACGGTGTGTTTTCTGATATCCAGCAGGGCCGTGAGGAGGCTCACCATCGTACGCAACTAGGCTAGACTCGTAATCCTCGGCGCAGAAAACCTCAGTTTTCACGAGGCAGCATCACAAACCTAGCCTCACTTAATTCAGTTGTGTGGAGCTTCTTCATGTTTATCACCTGACACGTCGCTATGGGTTAGGTCTATGCTGCCTAAAGAATCATAGTTACTGATTGAGTACTAGTGTGGCCACTTATATCTGAATACGTTGGCATTATTCTTAAGTTTTATACTGTCACGGAGGATTACAGTACAGTGCATGTATCTGTACACAACTAGTGAGATATTTCTAATATTTTCCTGATATTTACTAAGTCTTTGGCTCGAAAAGGATATTAATGAACATATCAGACTGTTAAAAATGTTGTATACCGTGTTAGATAGTTAATTATGTAGAATATGATGAAATTTAATTCATTTTTATCCAGTTCAAGGGGATTGTTTTAAGTAAATTGTTCACATGAACTATGTAATTTAATGACAACCCTGTCAACACGATACTTTATTTTATAGATTAGCTGTTTATTGTCTCTTTCAGTTATGATTTCTTTACGAAATAAATAACTGATTTATATTTTGTACAACTTCATGTCGATTTGACTCTATACAAGTTAACAGCAGTTTATTATAATCCCTATTGCATTTGATATTAAAAACACATAATTAATCAAAAAGACTCATTAAAAGTGCTTTTTTTCGACGTTGGAAAATACAGGGAGGAACAGTTAAGAATGGTTAAATATGTGCTTAAATTGCTCTATAAACAAATGTTCTTTAATCGTCTAATAAATTCAGATGATAAATATCCTTCCTTATAGATAGCAAAACATATATCAGAAACAGGTCAGAAAATAGATATGAAGACAGCTTATACTGTACTGTATAGATATGGTCAAGTAAAAATATTTAGATATATCGAAGCACTTGGTATCCACAAATTCAAACCTCCTCCTCTATGTATTCAGAAACAGTTTGTACTTACACTAAACCCCTACCCTGATGGTAGTATTAAGTTCCAACTGTTTATACTATTGGTGGCAGTGATTTGACCTTTTATTATTTTTCTCCTCTTTTACTTTTGTTCTACCCTTGTTATATTTCTTAATTCTAATTTTATTGGCTTAATTAACCTTTCCAAGTTTTATGTAAATTACTCAACGAGTTCATGTGTGGTCAGATTGTTCGAAATGTATAGTGCTAATACATTACATATTTCAGATAATCTTCATCTACTCATTAAGTTATTCAAAGTTATCAAGGTGACTAATTGTTTCAAGATTATCTTATTACCTTGATTAACATCAACAAACGATTTTTACTACTTCTAACAGAAATTTCAACTTTTTTTAATCTGATATATAGGATGTTTAATCACTATTTTACTATTATTTTCTTGGTAGGTTTAATAATAACTGCTCAAACATTGGGTTATACAGTTACAAAATTGGTTGGTGGAGTTCTCATGGATCATCTAAATCCACTCAATGTATTTATATACTCACTTATTTCTGTTTCAGGCTTCCTTTTTCTTTTATCAGGTAGGCTAAATTATTCTTCAGCTTAAGTGTTATGCATTTTACTTGTTTCATAAAGATAATTATTCACATTCCTTAAACATTGTGTCAGTTTATTTCAGTGTATTTTATCAATGTAATCTAAAGCATAGCAAGTAAATGTGATACCTTAATTTTGGCGTAAACAATCTATCTTTTACTTCAGTTTCATCTCATTGGTTGGTTTGGTTACTGTTAAACGGATTGACGGGTATAACGCTTGGTTCTGGTTGGCCGGCCATATCAAAATTACTGCGTATGGTATGTTTAGTAAAAATATATACTGTAACTATCAATTTGTGAATTGAAGAATGTTTAACTTCAATTTTATTACAAACATTTTGTGTTGCTTTCAAAAATATTGCCTTTCGTCTTAAATAGGTCAATAAATTTGACATGAGATCAAGTTTTTCAGGTTGTTTAATGTATTGCGTATAACCATTTTGGATATATTCATAGAGAAAATTGGTCTATTATTCCTCTAGATTTATAGGAAATAATCTTGTTTTGTAATTTTGAAAGTTCACTGTACCATAAACTTACGAACAAACGGCACCGATTATTATTATATAACAGATAGTCATTAAGAAAATAGTTTTAAATTAATGGATTATAAGAGTATTGAATCTGCTACACTAGTGCATCGGTTTAGTTGACTATATTTCAAAGCACTACGGTGAAAAGTTGTCAAGTTATCAGGCCGGAAGCCTTGGTGGTCGCTGGTTCGAATCCTGCGGTGGTCTAAATTTTCAACTCACCTTCACTCATCACCCAGTATAAAGTGACCTGTTATTATCATTACTGTTTTTTTATTTTCTCATATTCCTTATTTTCAGCATATATCTCCTCAAGAGCTAGCCACTTGGTGGGGAATTATATCATCATCTGCTAATGTAGCCGGGTGTTTAGGATCTTGGATATCCATTGGAATCGTTTCAATATCAGTCTTAATTTTTGGTGATTCTGCATGGATAGCGCCATTTATTATTGTTGGTATGTGTTTTTATTTTTAGTGTTCCAGTCAGAGCTATAAATTCTATCAGGTTTTATATCTCGTGCTACGAAGAATGTTTCCAAACTTTCATTCTATTCAGTACCTTAAAAAGATAAGTATTTCTTAACATACTACTGAGGAACTTGAGTAATTAGAAACCGCCTGGTCTGATCTGATCGTCGGTGCATGCAAGCCAGCTGGCCACATTCAAATGATCTAAACTAATTTGGCTCTATAAGATAAATTTGTTCGGGTACACTGATGATGAACCCGGCCCTGAACGAGCGAACTGGCCGTCTGGTGTTTAGATTACTCTTATTCGCTTGCCGAAATCTACACATCAGCCTGAGTGGTTCCTAACTACTTAAGTTGTTCAATAGTATATTACGCTTGTTCGTGGCAATTTTATTTCCGTGATCCCATGTTGTGATCTTGGTTGCGTTGTTTCCAGTGGTAACCTTGTTGACACCACACTTGGGTAGTTGGAAAATTACTCAGCTATGGGAAATGTCAACATGGATTGTGCAATTTGTAAATCGTTTGCAAATTAATCATCCTAGGTTAGCATTTCTTTCACATGGAAGATTAACCAGTACTTAATTTAAACTTTTTCTTTGTATAGTTTTTTTCTTGTCTTTATTTAGCGTTCCACATGATACTTTAACGTTAGTATGGGATAGCAGAATTATTCATTTCAAGTAGTGTTCTCTGATAAGTTTATGATTGACGACTTCCTAAAACGTGAGAAGTCACTTACCGAATTTGATAACAGCCAAACATAAAGGCTAGCTGTTGAAATTATTTTTTCGTGACAGGTTTACAGTCCGTTGTCTTGTTATGCTGGTGTGAGATATAGCCGTTAAAAGTAGAAGACAAGAAGCGGTTATAGGGTTTTGATCACAGGTGTCTTCGTAGCACTGTTTGCGTTAGGTGGAATCACCATGTGACCAGTGTTGACGTCAGGCGAAGGATACTAGGCAAGAGAGCCAAGTTGGTTGATGAGGTTGTGAACCTTCATCGACTGAAGTAGTTTGAACATGTACTGGCCATGCCGAACCATCATCTTACTCGACTTGTCGTACTTGGGGAAGTTGGATTAGATTGCAAGAAGGTTCAGCGTGAACAGACCAGTAGATGAAGTCTCTCACTGCTGATCTGGGCCGTGTTGGGAGGTGTAGACTATCTGGCTAGGTTCCCCAAGACGATAGGAATCTGTGGTTGTGGACTCTTGGTGATATGACTGAAAATCGGTCACAATGATGCAGATGTATTAACTCACCGACGTCTTCTAAAGCTTGAATATTCCCACTAACCTTCCTCTCCAAGTTGTTTATTCTGCCATAACTTTGCCTACTTTGATATCACTCTTTTTGTATCCACCTGTTCTTTCTATGCTACTCTGAATTGTAGCAACGTGAAGGGATGCATTTGTGTGAGAGGTTCTACGTTTATTTTGTTTGTCTGTCGGTTATATTTTGCGTCTATACTACTCCTATATACATCCTATTGACACCGAATGACAATAAAGCCCCTTCGCACTGTGGTATTGACCAGTGGTATATTAAAAGCTATAATGTACAAGGTTAATTTCTGGGATCATGCTGAGATAACCTAACTAAAAGATATGACCAATCAGCGGATTTCTTATTGGGACTTGCATTGTGTTCTCTCAAAGGATTTATGACGAAATCTGCGATAAGCGGTTACTTTTCATGATCCAATGGCGTTTTCCTTATGGTTGACCTAAATAATTATAAATATGATATTTCAGAGTATAGCCTACTTGATTATATAATTACTGTTAAATTGATACTTCAGATAGCCTGACATTTAAGTTTGTTGTGTTGTTAAACTTCTACTAGCTCACTACTTATTCCAACTTAAAAAAGCAGATGACATACCACTACAATAATGAAATAATACTTGTTGTGTACAAACGTGATGAATAACTGTTGATTTCTTTCATTGGGATACATGTCTGCAGCCAATTGAGTAGATTCAAAGGCCACCCTATCAACTACTGAAATGACTAATTTATTTGATTCATTTCAGCTAGATAAACAGTCTTTCAGAAGATAATGAGTTTTAATTGGTTATTTCAGAAATTTTAGTCACCTTCAATGTCATCCCATAGACTAAGTTTTAAAACTAGGGATTCACATCCCTTTCTGCTTCTAGCTTATCTATAATGATGGTCTTCCTGGTAATTGGCTGCTGGTTACTGGTAATATTTTCAATCTTGATAGGTAATCCATTTGACTTCAAAATACTCAAATTCTAATGTACTTTACTGTTCATTTTGATTGTGATATAATATCTTTTTAAAAAAAATATTTAAATATAGTTATGCTGTTGTATGTATTCCTTGACCTCTAACGTAAAAATTTTTGCACAAAGTTATGAGTTTCGTTTACTGTACCATAGTAAACAAAACTGTCAACATTTAAAAGAGAAATATGCGATGCAGGACACGATGTTTCAGAGTTGATTGCCTTGATCACCAAATCATAAGTGTGCTTGTAGAATAAACAAGACTGTATAAAGTGATAAGTTGTTCTAAATCTAACGAAAAATAAAAAGCAAATATGATCATACGACTTATCTATTTGGCACTGTTACCTAGGATTCTCCACTTTTCCATTTTTAGCATCTGATAGGCCTGTATGATTAAAACTAGAGTATTCTAGACAGTTCAGAATAAAAGTAAGTGTTTATTTATTGATACTTGTAATTTTCTGTTGCTATACTCGGTCGAATTGGTCGACCTCCGTTGGCAGTTGGGCTCCTATGCGGATGCCTCGACACCTGGATATTTATTTTATTGTAGTCTATTTGGTGGCTAGCAGTGAGATCTAACGTGTGCATTTCGTCCCATTTTGGACTACTCAGTTGGGTGTACTTGCAACCCAGTGGGTGATGTTCTTACCGAGACCCGAGCCCATGTAGTGAATATCTGGGCAATATCGAGGCATCCACAACTGGCAACAGAGGTCGAGCAATCCCACTCAGTATATCAACAAGAAATTACAGGTATCAATAAATAACTGATACTCTATCCGCAAGTGGTGGCTGTCGTGCCCCAGGGGCCCGGTAGATAACGCTTTGGCGTTTGAAGCGGTGGGAACAGAATCATTCACTGGGATGTAGGCATATTCACTGGACGAGTCCCAAAACAGTGTGAAATATGCTTCATGGGTTCCACTGCTGGAGTTGTTTTATATCAAAATATCATCACCACTTTGGAAAAAGGTGCTAAGTATGTTGGATCTGCTTTCTTAGATTATAATTCTGCCTTTGATTCTATCCATAGACCCTTCTTATCAAACAAACTTGCCAAAACTTACATTGATTCTTAAATTGAAAACTGTCTTGATTCTTATTTTTCTGAGAGGGAAGCGCTCTGCCTCGCTTCTTAGTGAAGCCGGTGTCACTCAAAGTGCTGTTCTCTTTCTTTTTCCATGACCTACCCACCTCAGCTAAGGTTAACTTTGTTAAGTCGACAGATACCGGTCATATTCTTTTTAGATTGTTCTCGGTTCATCAACTTGTTAACCGAAACTGGCTACTGACCTTCCTTAAATGGTCTCACACTCAATCCCTTCAAGTGCCCGTTGGTTAATTTCAGCTTAAGACGTGGACAAGACCTATGTTAATTGTTTCATTCTTATTACTCCTGTCTTATCGATGTCTGTATTGTAGACATTGTGTCAAGTGTGATCCATCTTGGGTTATGCTTTTCTTCTGATCTTCTTTGATCCCCTCATATCTAACTGATTTTCAGTAAAATCCTTCGCTTGACCTCAGACTGTCTGTATAATTCAGATTCTACCGTTATGGTTAATTGATTCCTACGTTTTGTCTATACCTACTTATTGTGCTGTATTGCGTAAGATTTGAAGGCTATCAGTAGATTAAGTGGTATACTAATGACCGTACTGATGAGTGCGGTTGTGGATTGGCATCTGAACTCTTGTTGACAGCTGGCTAAAAGTATTTTATCTGATGACAGGCATCCACTGCACCTGAACCTCTCTCTACGTCTATTCTCATGGAAGAAAAGAAACAAATACACAACTCTACGCCCACAGAAATACTACATACGAAAGTCCAACCATACCTTATTTTACTTGTATATTGTGTGAAGAAAAGCGTGTAACAAACTGTCTTATCAATCGGCTTTGTGATAACGAACAGTTATCGTGACCCTGAAGTCATTAGGCAATAAAACAATCCTGTTATTCTTTGTCATATATCCTTAACCAGTACTGTTGTTAAAATATTTAAGAAATGTTTTACAACTTGTTAGCCAATCCAATATCATATGTTAAGAATTCTGTACTGTAAACAAACTAGTGGTTCGGAATAAAGCAATTATATGTTATCATGATATTTATCTCCTTAAATTCCATTTCTATCAAAAACGCATTATATATTCATCTTGGTAACTCTCAATGGAATTCATAAGCCAGTATGTCAACAGAGGTCCAGGATTTCTACTTTATATAGCAACGAGAAATTACAAATATCAAACAGCGTTGCAACATACTTTTCAAAGATGCCAGGATTTTCTAAGTACACTGAAGATATCTTTGTGTATTACTCGTTATGCACTTTTGGGCTAGTGGGAAATGGATTTTCTAAACTGTTCAAATTTCAACAGGAAGGTGCACAAGTGGAGACTTCGGATCGAAAGTGACAATTTTTTGAATTCTTCATATTCTTGAAGTGTGCTTCGGTTGAGAACTAAATCGATACCGTAGAATTTCTATGTTCATACAGTAGACCAAAACGATTCTTTATATTAAAATCTCTTTTTGGATGTTTCATTCATTGCTTGAAGAGCCTTGATAACATTAACAGAAAACTTTGTTGTCATATCAAACATATGGTTTCTAAAAAACAAATCATTGTAACCTTCGGTTTTTATATTGAGAAGGCACAATCTTTATATCAGGTGATCTTCCAGGAAAATTACCTATTTTTACGCAGACAAACACAT